ATTTCTTATGTAAATTTATAAATTTTCATTTAATCAGCATACTTTTATAAAATCCTATCTCATTACTTGTAGCTATTGCTGTGATATGTTTGAAATATATCATCAGTGAAAGTATACTTGTGATCAGGTGATGTCACTAGTCTCTCTGTTTTAGTTGGTGCATGTCTGTGATATATAAACATCTATTTCTTTAAGATGCTTTCTAGGAATCACGGTTTGTTTATTTATTTGTTTGTTTGCTTTTTGCCGTGCCATGCAACATACGGGATCCTAGTTCCCCGACCAGGGATGGAACCTGTGCCCCCTGCGTTGGGAGCACGGAGTCTTTTTTAATAAATTTATTTATTTATTTATTTATTTTTGGCTGTGTTGGGTCTTCGTTGCTGCGTGCAGGCTTTCTCTAGTTGCAGGGAGAGGGGGCTACTCTTTGTTGCCGTGTGCGGACTTATTGCAGTGGCTTCTTTCGTTGTGGAGCACGGGCTCTAGGGGTGAGGGCTTCAGTATTTGTGGCGCATGGGCGTAGTTGCTCCGCCCCATGTGGGATCTTCCCAGACCAGGGCTCGAACCGGTGTCCCCTGCATTGGCAAGCAGATTCTTAACCACTCAGCCACCAGGGAAGTCCCGGGAGCACGGAGTCTTAACCACTGGACTGCCAGGGAAGTCCTTAGGAATCAGGACTTAGAGAAATACAGACTTGGGATCCTATCTTCCTATACTGAGTGTTACAAGTAAGGGTTGTGTTCTTTATTAAAGATAAGCAACAGTTAATTTTTAACTGCAAAAATTTTTAATTGCAAAAATTGTTAATTAGTTACAATAATTATAAACCTGCATTAATATAAAATATGAACACAGCATTGCATATGTGGTTTATGTAAGGTCTCATAAAATGTATATGGTATGCACAATTATAACTCTACTAAATCTGGAATATCTAAACCATTTATGTGAGTATAATAAGTATCAGTTATCACTTTATTAAGTATTTTTGCTTAGCACTTTAGTAGTGTGGAGCATAGGAGATTTTGAACTTTATGGGTAGCATCTCTTAAAAAGCTGTCAATGAAAATTTGAATTCCTGCCTTCTTTTACCTCTTAATAAATTTCCTTGTAACAAGTAGAGGCAATAATAATTCTCTATAACTTAATAGTTATCCATTGGATTTTGAGGCTGCTGAACAGAGTTAGTAGGTAAATTTTAGGTTGAATATAAAAGGGTTCTTTATTTCTTTTTTTAAAAAATATTTATTTATATTTTGGCTGTGTCAGGTCTTAGTTACAGCACACAGGCTCTTCATTTTGATGCGCGGGCTTCTCTCTAGTTGTGGTGTGCGGGCTCAGTAGTTGTGGCACGCAGGCTCTCTAGTTGTGGCTCACGGGCTCATTTGCCCGGCAGCATGTGGGACCTTAGTTCCCCAACCAGGGATCAAACCAGCATCCCCTGTATTGCAAGACGGATTTTTAATCACTGGACCACCAGGGAAGTCCCCAAAGGATTCTTTCTTTATGAACATAAATCCTACTACCAGGTGCCAGCTTCACCTAGAGTATGTTTTGAAAATTTTGTAAAAGAAATTAACATGGAGCCAGTCACTTCTTAGTGACTCCGGTTCCACAGTGATTTAAATAAGGTTGGCCTTTGTTGAAAAATTGCAAACTCATTTGAAAATGAATCTGCTGCATTGCATTATTAAAGCTGCTAACTATTTAAATTGTGCTTAATTTTATAGAGCTACTCTTGTGCTTATATTGAATTTTACAGGTCTAACCAGCAGAATTTGTCAATTTGGGAAGCTAAAAGATATCTTAAGTCTTAAGTAAAAGGTTCATAAAATTGTTCAGTTTTTATTTCTGAATACCTTTTTTTGTAGTATGCTTAATATAGGTTTAATCCATCTATTTGTGTGTTCTACAAGGGTAAAAGTGATGCAAGTACTCGTTAAGGTAGAATTGTTTTCTTAAATTGGGGGTGGGCGAATTCTTTCTGCGAAGGGCTGGATAGCAAATATTTTGGGCCTTGCAGGCCATATGGTCTCTGTCATAACTATTCAGCCCTGCTGTTGTAGTGTGAAAACAGCTATAAACAATACATAAATGAATGGGTGTGCCATGTTCCAATAAAACTTTATTTACAAAAACAACCAATGGGCTGAATTTGGCCCATGAGCAGTATTTTCTCAACTGCTCTAAATCACTGAGACTGTGGTCTCTCTAAAATCAGGTCATTTTATGTCTGGAAGTGAAGAGGTAGTTTCTCCTTTTTGCTTTAGCATCAATAGTAGTACTTTAATTCTGAATACTAATAGCATAGAGAAAGAAGATACTAAAGATATTCTAGGAGGAAATCGGTTAGCTGGATTTGGAGAGATTGCAAGCTGATCTATAGATGTGTGCTCTATACCTGGGTACTCCCACCGTCTCTGGCTTATCTTGAGCTCTGCTGGAGAAAGTCAGGAAACTGTTAACTTGTGCTTTCTCACCTCATTGCTACCAGTCAACCCTTTTATTTATCTCTATTTGACTGCTTGTTACATTCCTCACAGCATCCCTTCCAAGGTCATCCTTATCCCCTTATAGCTTGGTCTCAGCATTTGATCTCACATCTCTTATTTTAGCAAAGATGTGTAATATTCAATATGAATCTCTATGTTCTATGTTAGTTCCTTTTTTAAGGTAGGAATGAAAAATGATAATTCTACTACTAAATGAATTTTTTTTTTATAAATTTGTTTATTTTTTAAATTTTATTTTTGGCTGCATACGGTATTTGTTTTTCTCTTTTTGGCTGCGTTTGGTCTTCGTTGCTGCGCTCGGGCCTTCCTTAGTTGCAGTGAGCGGAGTCTACTCTTCGTTGCAGTGCATGGGCTTCTCATTGCGGTGGCCTCTCCTGCTGCGGAGCATGGGCTCCAGGCATGCAGGCTCAGCAGCTGTGGCATGCAGGCTCAGCAGTTGTGGCGTGCAGGCTCAGTAGTTGTGGTGCACGGGCCCTGCCGCTCCGTGGCATGTGGGATCCTCCCGGACCAGGGCTCGAACCCGTGTCTCCTGCATTGGCAGGCGGACTCCCAACCACTGCACCACCAGGGAAGCCCTAAATGTATTTTTAATTCTCAATTTAATATGCAGACTGTATAAGTTATTGTAAAATATTTGCCTGAATAAGTATAATAGGCCATTAATTCCTCTTCTACGACTTGAAATGCATCTACCCTTACATAGGTGTTTTTTAGATACATAATTATGAGAATATTAATTCAAAAGTGATCATAATGTATAGTAAAGTTATGTAATTTTCAAGCATGTTTTTAAACCCTGAGTCATGATAAAGGTCACTTCTGAGAAAGTATGTGAATGGATGGAGGGATACACAAATAGAGTACATAAGCAAAGAAGGCAAAATGTTAAGATTTGATAAATCTGAGTTGTGACTACATGGGTGTTTATTGTCTTGGACTTTTGTACTTGTCGCATATTTGAGGTTCTTCATTGTAAGGAATTTAAAAATAAATGACCAAACAATTTCCATGAATCATGAATGAGGTATATGTATATGTATTTTTTTAATTTAAAATTTCTTATCCACAAGAGTATGTGGAATCCTCTCTAAAAATTCTCTACTATGTTCTGGATCTTGCTCTGGGAAAATCTTATAAAACAACTTTGTGGTAAGATCTGTTACTTTAATAAAAACAAACCTCATGTCATTTTCCCATCAGTAAGTTAAAATAGCTAAGTATTACGGAGAATCTGAAACTTATCTTCATATACCTCTTCTGATGTCAACCTTCTGAAAGCTACATGGCATTGTCTTATAAATGTTATAAGTTGTGTTGAAACTTAAGCATAAAATCAATATAAACTTTTTTTTTTTGCTTAAACTTTAAAAAATGCACAACAATGAAACAATTAGTCTTAAGTTTGGTACCAATCTAGGGCCTATTATAACTACTATTATTTTATTTTTGCCCTAAGTTTATTTTAAATGAAGTACTTTGTTACTTTATTTTCTCAATAAGAATCTGAATAAATGTTTTGTGTTGTCATTGGCACATTCTTCAATCCCTCCCCAACTGATAATTTTTCCACTTCTGAACACTTGGAATAGATTAAACAGAGGCTGTATAATATCATCTTAATTTTGTTAGATATGATTTATTTAGTTCAGATGTTTAGAAAGTTTGCCACATGTTTGTGTAGTATTTTTTTTAATTTATAAAAGGAAAAACTAAAAATCTGAATGCTTTGCATTGCTCGTTTTTAAATTTTTCATGGCAGGCATGTCATCAAGTGAAACTTTGACTGTTCAGAGATATTTCTGGAACCATGATTATGTAGCAGTCTCGGACACCTTTGGGTTTCTTTAGTGGTGAGACCATTTCCATTGCACAGGATGGATGGGCTGAAATGGCAGGAACACGACTAGAAAGTGCACGTTTCAGTTAGCATGGTGCTAGTGACAGGTGCTCGATGGTTGTTGGGATCCTTGTCAACAAAGAGAATTCTTTGACATTAAAGTCACGGGCTCAATCCTGATTTGGGGTGGCTATTGGCAGTTCCATCAGCCTGCAGCTGACCAGTGAATGTCAGAGCTGCCGCTGTTCTACAGTTGTCACCAACCCTTGGTGCTTTTTTTTTTTTTTTTGGAGGGAGGGAGGGTTGGTTTAGCTTGTCTTGTTCAGTCTTCACCAGGCTTTCAAATTGCTTACGTTTGGAAAATGCACTGAGAGGTCATAGGGAATATAGGTGTCTTTAGGGCATGCAAAATCATATACAGAGTGAGGACTTACTACCCAGAGACAAGTAATGATTACCTTGACTCCAAGCCAATCAATGGTGTGAACACCTGGGGACTCATTAAATGGCATTTGTGGTGTTTGTAACCAAGGTTTTGAGCTCTATTTCAGGAAAAGCAGTGACAGCCTTTAATGTCTAATTGACCTCTTCTCTTTGTTTCACTTTCTTGTCCTTTCCTTATTTGCCTCTGATGTGGTTCCTGATGGCAGCAAACAGCCCTGCTTAGCGTTTTGAACTTCTGTTCAGAGCTTCAGCACCTCAGTTTGGGTAGTTGTGTCATGGTAAGTATTGGAAAATTCTTTATTCTCAATTGCTGCTTCTCTTTTTCTTCCCATGGGTGACTTTTATCCTGACCCTCCCCACACCCACCTACAGCTTTTCAGATTTATGGATAACTATGTGCAACCCGCTTTAAAACATTTTTCTTAAATGGGAGAATTTGTCTTTGACATTATTTATCTGTGAGAACAAGGAAAGGAGTATAGTGTGGTGCAAAGAGTGTGGTTCTGCCTCAAGCCAGATGTTATCTCAGACAAGCTATTTAGCTCTCTGGGCTTCTTTACAAAATAATATATCAATCATACCCAAATGCCAGTAGTCTGGTAAGTTTTTCACAAAGCTAATTTTAGTTTTTGAGTTCAGAGATTATTTTCTGGAAATGCTGATGATAGTAGATAGGTTTATTTTGTTTGTTTCACTGTCCTTACTGAGTAAGATGAAAAGATGGACACCAGCCTATGTTGGAACTAATTTCTTTAAAACGTTACTGGTCTGTGAAATCCAAAAACGTAGGGACTGTTGGAATAAATAATCTTGAAACTCCTTTCAGATATAAAATTATAATTTATATGTCATTGGAAGAGTTCATGGGATGAATTAAATGTTTTTCAACTAAATTACATGGTTAATAAATAAGACTGACACTCAAGGGACAGTAGAACTCTGTGTGTGCGCGTGTGTGCATACGTGTGAGCCTGTGTGTGTGTGTGCATGCATGCACACTCACAGGAAATGCATCTCCCAATATAACTGACTGTGGAGTGATCCATTCCTCTTTATTTTCTTACCTGCCCCCCCATACCCAAAGCAGATTCAGGAGATCCTAAACCATTCCAGTTTTGCATCCACTTATTAGGAAGACCTGAATAAGCAGGATGGTTGCAAGATCAGAGAAGATTTTAGGCCTTATTAAACCCCATGTATGGGCTCAGGCCCATCCCGGTCTCTGGAAACAATCTGAGAGCCCACTAACTCAGCATTAGGTTTCCCTTCTGGTCAGCTTTTTACGTTAGTAAGGCATTTCATGGGCTTCTGTTGGGTCCTTCTAGTGGCTCTTCTACATGGGCTCAGTGACACTCCATGGCACTTTCTGTGACAACATACCAACCAGTTACTGTCACTTGGACTTTGCTTATTGTTAGCCTGCCTTCTTTAGATTGGTAAGGACCCTGCTTTGACTTTGGCCAGAGGTATCTTATTCTGCCTGTTAATTACCTCCCCATAACCTAGAGCAGCATTCTCTAGAAAAGCAGGCCTCTAATCACAGACACTTTCGAGTTGGAATTATGTATGTTTATAGTTGGAGTTAGGTGTAGTTGAAGTCAGCATTTTCCTAAGTTGACCTATGGAACATTAGTCCTAAAAGATATTCAAGTTAAAAAGTTGTGTATTGTAGGGGGAAAGAAGGGGGAATAGGAATTCTGGGTCTAAATTAGGAAACGATGCTCCTATATCCTCCCCCTGGAGTTTTCAATGGTATATCCTACAATAAAGAAACAGTTTGCCTTTGCTTAAACCAGTGTTTTCCAACTTTACCTGACTAATGAACCCATTTTTTCATGTTACATCTATTATTATGTAATATGGTATGGGAAATGCTACTTCAGATAAATAGGCCATTTTTAAATTAAAGTATGTAGTTACCAGTATTGTTACAATTGATATTTATTTGCCAGGAAATGAAGTTTTAAGGACTTGACATTCGAAGTTCAGAAATACTGCTAATATTGCTGATACTGCTACTAACGTGATGATTGAAACATTTCATACTTGTCACAGAAGTACTGTTCTTCACAGCAGGTCTGGGTTCACCAGGACAGTAACACAGACAGCTCTTGGTTGATACTTTAATACCATGTTTATTTCAGTTTCTTTCCTGTCAGCTGACCAAAAGGCAGGATGATTCATTTGATATTTTATTTTTGACTATCAAAATAATAGCAATCAGAATCATGGGTTTTGGAAAGTTTTTAATTTGCTTCTTCCTAAAGAAGCTAATTGGCTGCACTAATGACCAAAGCTACAGTTTTGTGTTGTTTGGGTGCACTCTTAAGAAGATAGTTGTATTTACCCAAATCGATTTCTCGTGGTCTTCTGCATGATTGTTCCTGCAGAACCTTAGAAATCATCACCACTGTATCTAATCTATCAGCTCTTTGGTTCTGACTCAAAATATAGCCCCCAACCTGTCCACTTCTCCAATGCCACTGCTTCACCTTGATCCAAGACCCAGCATCTCTCCTCTGCGCTAGTGCAGGCCTCTTCACTGGGCTTCCTCCTCCATTCATACCCACCTTAGACCATCCTCCAGAGTCCGGAGGCGTTTTTGTTTTAATGTGAATCATATTTGTTTCAAACCCTCCATTGATCTCCTTATAGTTAAAATAAAAATTCCAAGTCCTTCACGGCCTGATGGCCTGGCCCTGCGTAGCTCCCTGGCTTCACAGCCTGCCCTCTCTCACTCCCCTTGGGCCGTGTACCCATCATATTTCTGTTCCTTGAATGAGCCACGCTCATTCCCGGAGATCCCGGCAGCCACCACTCCCTCCCTCAACCTCTGCCACTCTGATCACTCTCATGTCACCCTGTTTTATTGTTTTACTTATCACTCTCTGAATTTATCTTGCTCATTTATTTGTCTGTATGTCTTTCCAAGAAATGTGAACACAGTCTTTTTTTTTTGATTCACTGTTGCTCCCAGCACATCGGAGATGAAAATATGAATAAACAAATGGACAAAAGGAAGTAATCATTGGAAATGTTTGCTGTTTCGTTTCCTTTTGACTTCTGATGATAATACTGATACTGATTATAACAAAATCAAATGAAACTCCTAAAAGAATCTGTTTAAAGAAACATTATTAAAACATTCAAAGCCCATGAACTGAAATGTTTAATTCTTGAATAGTAGAAGCTTATCCCACGATCATGAGGTAAATCATTGGACACCTCCAATAACTGACAGCAGCTAACTTATCACAATCTAAATTATTTTTCAGGTTGCATTTTCAGTCCCCAGATGCCTCATTTAACCCAAAACGAGTATCCTTATTAGTACCATCAGCATATTCACTTACTATTTTAGAGCCTAGCTAAGTGCATACCTTTATCAGGGAGATCTTACATATGTCAAAGTAGCAACAGCTACTGTCAAAATGGGAGGCATACAAGGACAATACATAATCCTCAAATTCTTTAAGAGGGACTGAGGATTTCAGACTGCTTTGGGATTTAATTCATTAACGTCCTCTGTCTGGAATTCTGTTAAATGGATTTTTAAGTAAGTGATTACTCTCGCTGTTTTACGAAACGGTGGCAGGTCTGTGAGATGAGTGGGCACATCTGTGTTAATGACAGTGTGGGTATGTTTGCACAGAAGCAAACAACAGGAGATGATTAAGAATGCTTTAATGTGCTCAAAACAGTTTGTGTTTCTCAGCATAATATGGGAAAGATTGAAATTATTTGATTTCCAGATTGAAGACTATGACGTGATAGCTAGCATGATAGGAGCCAAGTGTAAAAAACTCCGGACTCTGGATCTGTGGAGATGTAAGAACATTACTGAGAACGGGATAGCAGAGCTGGCTTCTGGGTGTCCACTTCTGGAGGAACTTGACCTTGGATGGTGCCCTACTCTGCAGAGCAGCACTGGCTGCTTTGCCAAACTGGCACGCCAGCTTCCAAACTTGCAGAAACTCTTTCTAACAGCTAACAGGTCTGTGTGTGACACAGACATTGAAGAACTAGCATGTAATTGTACCAGATTACGCCAACTGGACATACTAGGTAAGGATACAATCTATAAATTTCTTTTAAAGCCTTGACATAAAAACTAACCTCAGACTTTTTATAGGGAGGAAAAAAAGTTCTTGGATACAATAAAAATGTTGTCCTGATAATTATAACTGTACTTAAGTAAAAGAGTGAGGGCAGTAACAGAATTTTGTAGTTGAACCTATCAGAAAGCTCTAAATAACCATAATTCTTGGTCTAGTAAGAAGAGTGAGAATTTGTGTGAGCTGTGTTCTCTATTATTATTGACAGATAAGAAGTTAATCCGTTTGTTTAATGAATTCAAGACACACACACACACATATGGCTTCTTGATGTTAAATTCTTGATTAAGGAATCTTGTGAAATTTCCATTCCTGATGATTCTAGTTTTTAGGAATAGTTCTACCCTAAGGCAGAGCTATTGAAAATCCTTCCCAGTGCTGGGATTCCTTGTGTCTTTTTTGCAATTTACAGCCAGAAACCCTGTGATATTTTGTTACTTCTGACACTGGCCAGAAGTGCTAGCAATGCCACGGTTATAATTGCCCACACAGTGGTGAACCCAAATAGCACTTGCACTGTGTTGCTAGTAATCTGTTTGTTAATACTAACAGATTAGTCCTTGAAGTGCTAATTATATCCTTTACTGTTTATTCAACATTCAACCAAAGGGAAACCTGAAGATTTTCAACACTTATGTTTGTAGTTTCAGTTAAAATCTCTCCACAGTCCAGGCTTATGGTACATTTGTAGATGTTGCTTATATAGTTGCATGTTACTTATTCAAGTTCCTTGTAGGCAGAAATTCTTGCTTAAAAATTTAGGAAGGGGAAATTAGGCATATGGGATTAACAGATACAAACTACTGTATATAAAATAGATAAGCAACAAGGATATATACACTGGAATTATATCAAGTGTCTTATAATAACCTATAATGGAATATAATCTGCAAAAATTACTGAATCACTGTGCTGTACACCTGAAACTAACACAGTATTGTAAGTCAACTGTACTTCAATAAAAATAAATAAAATTTTAAAAATCAATAAAAACAGTTGACTGAAAAAAAAACCTTAGGGAGAAATTCTTGCCTATTATATGTACACTTTAGGCTAGATACTTCATCTGTGTTATATTCTCCTTAATCTTCATCGCTCAGGAAGCTGGGTATCATTGTCTTTTCATAGATGAGGATGCTGGAGCCAGCAATTAATATGTGGCGGAGCAAGGGTTCACGTACAAGGGTTTTGTCTCCACAGTCAGTACTGTCTTTTCAAAACACCACACCACTTACCTTGCTTGTTTCTTTGCCTGCCTATCTACCTTCCTGCTTGAATTAGCCTAGACTTTTTTTAATAAGGTAATTATTTTGAAACAGTCAAGAAAAAGTCATGAATTCACAGGGACAATGAGGAAAGGCAGTCAAGGGCCTTTTAAAATGATCACTAATTGCGCCAGGCTTCACTTCAGAGGATGGTGCCATTGTTGTTTAAAATCTAGTTTACAAAAAAAAAAAAAAAAAAAAATCTCGTTTACAATTCTCCCTCCAAAAACCCTCAAATAAACCCCAAAACATACACTTGAGATGGAGAGTAGCCAGTATCTGAAAGAGATGCTACCAAAGAAGTCAGTAACACTGATCCCAAAACAAGAGCACAGTTGTGATGAGCAGTGGGTTCCGTTGTCAGGTGGCCTAAGTTTGGTCTATAAATGTATGAATTACTTGACAGAGACATAAAAGAAAAGCAGGTACGAAGTATAAAGACTTCTTTTTGAAGACATTTGTGACTTTCATGAGCATAAGAGCAAGGCAGTATCATTATTTATTATGTCAAATCTAATTACCGATGCAAGATGACTGTCATGCGAATATATTGGAACATCTTATTTCAAATATAAAGAGCACAATAAAAAGTAATATCACTAGTAGTCAGTAATTAATATTGTTAACAACAACATGACTATGTGCTTTATACTGTTCTGAGCATATATTAACTGATTTAATCATCACAACAACCTTATGAGGTAGATATTCTTATTAGCCACAGAGGAGGAAACGGGTGGAAATAGGTTAAGGGATTTGCCCAAGGCTCATAACTAGTAAGGAATCTGGACTTGAACCAGAGTCTATGCTTCTAACCACTGTGCTATATTTTCTTTACTTTTATTGTTGTTTTTGGTCTCCTTTCATCGTTTAGTGTTAGAATCCTTATTTTTTTTAAAAAAAAAAGGATTCTTAGTTAAACCATGCTGATATTCATTATTTTATTTGTCATTTTGTGATTAGCACATATGAATGTTAAGTGGCAAATCTTCGTCATACTAAACGTACTTATCGATCAGTACAAAGCCGAATAAGACACAGTCCCTGTCTTCAGGAGTTGAAAACCTAGCAAGAAGGAATAAAACAAGCATATAAATAACTGTAATGCAAGCCAGAAGCAAGTCCACTTTGATGGGGCTCAAAGAAAAGAGAGTATATATATGATCAGAGAAATAAGGAAAAGCCTAATTTAAAAGGCTAATAGATATTTGAAAGGTATCCTTAAAAAGTGAGCAGGAAATTGGGGGAGAAGGGCATTTTAGGCAGCATGAATAGCATGAAACGAAAGCAAAGGTGTTAAAAGTACAGAATATCTTGAGAAAATAGGCAGTCTAATTTGATCTAGAATGTTGGTATAATGGAGGGTATCCTGGAGAGTTTTGAGCACCAGGATGAGAAGTATGCACAAAATTAAACAAGGAAGAGGTTTTACTGGGTTTTAATTAGGGATATGAGTGATATTATTTAGAGCTGTGTTTTAGGAATACTTATCTGGAAATGAGTAGTAGGTGAATTGGAGAAGGAAGAAATCAAAATCAAAGAGATTAGCTTCAATAATCCATCTCACGAGGGTCTATACCAGGGTGATGGCATCGGACAGTTAACCACCATTCCTTCATTTTTTCATTCATTACACACTTATTGAGCATATACTATGTTTGGCATTATTTTAAACACTGGAGATATTCAGTGCCCTGAAGGAGCAAGCTGACTGAAAACAAAATTGTGTCCTAAGTGGATAACAAAACAACAGCACAAAGTACCCTGGAAACATAGGACAGGCGACCCTAGCCCAGTTAAATGTTCAATCTCTGACTTCCTTCCCTGGCATTCTCTTAGGCTTTAGGAACTCCTAATTTATCAGGAAACTCAGATTCTAATGACCAAGACTGGCAAATAGAAAAAAGTCACAGCCCTAGGTGAAAATCTCCACAGAGCCAAATGGCTTAGGTGAGGTTCTCTGATCTTATATAACAGAAACCCCCTCAAGATAACTTAAGCATACGAAAAAGGCGATTATTATGAAGATACAGGTGTCCATCTCAGATCCCATGGGTAGAAACTGGGTATGGTCAGACCTCAGGAGAGACTGGAAAACCATCAAAAGGCGAGGAAGCTTTTTTCTCTTTTTCGTTCCTTCTCCTATCCTGCATACTCAGGCCCCTGTCCCTAAGCCACACCCTCTGCCGCTGTACACTTACAGAGACGTTTGTGTCTGCTTCTCCCTTTGGTTTTGCTTTGTTCTTTTCTTGTCATGCTGGCCATCTCTGTTCCTCTGGGTACACATGGCTAAATATAGCAGCTCTGACCCAGTTTTCCATGTCTTTAGTTCAAGAGATCAAATGGGCACTGGAGGCTTTACTGAATCCCAATTCTAAATTCCCAGGAGAATCTGCATTGGTTTATCATGGGGCCAATCGCAGCCAGGGTAGCAGTATAGTTACAGCTTCTGGTAGAAGTATAGTTACTTCTCCCTTCTCATGGCGGGAGGGGCGAAGAAAGGATTTCTCAGAGAAAAAGGCATAGACTAGTGTTTCAGAACATTTAATCCCCATCCCAGGTATATATGTGTAATACGATTGTGATGATTTTTTTTTCTCCTTAGAAAAGCTATAGTTACAACAGATGACATCTTAGAGCCTAGTGATATTTGGTACTTATTGAGTGCCTGCCGTGCATCAGGTGCTTTACATAATTTATATGATTTATAACCCATCCGAATATCTCATAATCACTTCAGATTTAACATGGGCTAAATAGTATTCATCTTCCATCATTTGTCTTCCAGTAATGACATTTTATACCTACCACTTACTGTAGAACTTATCAAATTGTGTTGTAGTTATTTGCTTTCAACTCTAGTCAATGAGTTCCTTAAGGCAGACACGTGTCTTACTCATCTTTGTATCTCCAGTGCCTGAAACAAGTTTCTACAGGGTAGTTGCTCAGTAATTGCACTGCATGGAATTAGAGGTTGAATCATTAAGTATTGCTGTCTGATTTGACCCATGGGTTCAGGAAAATGAGATGTGCAAACAGTTTTGAACTGGGGTGAACAGAAATAGGAAAGTCTGGAGGAGCTGATTGGAAAGGGTAGGAGGTAGGAATGAAGATAAGAATGGGTAGAGATTGACAAAATTCAGGTCCTAGATACCAATTTGGCTGGGAAATTTTTTTTTTTTTTAACAGGACCATTTCAATATGAAGTCTTGTTTTAAGAAATGTTTTTAATTTGTAAAAGTTTATTTTAAGTGTATTTTAAATAATAAAAAGGGACTTTTATCAAGATATTATATGTGTTATATAATATTTTGTTTGTTTTTTTTTAAACAGGAACAAGAATGGTAAGTCCAGCATCTTTAAGAAAACTCCTGGAATCTTGTAAAGATCTTTCCTTACTTGATGTGTCCTTCTGTTCACAGATTGATAATAGAGCTGTGCTAGAACTCAATGTGAGCTTTCCAAAAGTGTTTATAAAAAAGAGCTTTACTCAGTGACTTCATATATGTCTTATAATAAAATTAATGTGCTTTTGTAGGGTTTTGTTTTGGGGTTGGTTTTGTTTAGTTTTTATAATGGTGGGAATATCTTAAGACATTTGTGGATTTTAAAGAAAAATATGGAAATGTCCATTAAATCATTAAATCAGTGATGTAAACAAATGTTTTCACAAAATATTGTAAGCACTTTCCTTCAAGAATATGTGAGTGGCTCATATTATTTTTGTCTTATGTTAATCAGTGATATTGTGCTTTAGTCAATAACTAGATGTTTAATAAAAGAGTAATATGGAAATATTTTAACTTATTTTGAAAGGAGCACTTTGAACAATAAAATATCATGATATTTATGCAAGAATAAAGTTAATTTTTCACACTTCCATGTAAAGATGCCTTATTAATTATAAGCCTTATGACCTGGCCAGTATTTCTTTTGGTATGTACAAAATTGTCAGAGTTGGTTGGAGAAAGAATCTTACTTTTTATCTGTTAAGATTATATTTTACGTTGATACACTAATTCTTCAACTTGAAAGTTTTCAGTTTTTCCAGTTTTCTTCTGATATATTTATCTATTTTACTACTGGATAATAACAGTAGTAAAATATGGGCATAATCAAGAACACGAGGTAAACTATTAAATGAAATAGTTTTCCAGCTGTTCAGCAGATGCCTTAAAAATTTGCCAGAGGGAAAGGTTTAACACTTCTGAATTATATGTGGATTTTATTTTATTTTATTTTCTCTGCCCCAGCACCTTAAATAATTAGAAATCAGGGACAGTGGAGAAAACAAAGCAAACAAACATTGTTTTGTCAAATAGTAAATTGATTTAGTTCTGCTGCTAAGAAAGTAGACAGAAAATATTTTCTGGAATGAAAAGGCAGGGCTGTTTTGAATAGCAAACTAATACTAAATATATAGTGTAACAAAATTTATTTTCCCACACAGGGCAAAATGTTAATTTCCAATATCCACACATCCTAGAGTGATCCCGTAGAACTCTGCTGTCCAATACAGCAGCCACTAGCCACATGTGGCTATTTTATTTAATTTTAGTTAAATTTAATTAAAAATTCCATCCCTCAGTTGTACTAGCCACATTTCAAGTACTCGGTAGTTACCTGAAGCTAGTGGTTATCATATTGGACAGCACTAGTCTAGAATTTCTTGCTATAAGGTGTAGTCATTTAAGAAAAAGCATATTTAGTTTAAAAATTAGCACAGTTAATATATATCTCTAGGAAATTTTTGAGGATACTCTCAATAGTACATATCTGAAAGCATTTTACCCCCAAAGTAAAGCTAGTGGATTTATACATATGGATAATAGTAGGCATTCAGTAAATAATGAATAAGAATATATTATTGAATTAAGCCATATGTCAAATTTTAAAATTATAAGTGTTATAAATTACTAGTAGTACTGTGTTTATTCTTTTATAGAATATAAAGAATGTAATACGTGACATTTAAAATATTAAAATAGTAATCCAGTCTCCTCCACGTAAGAAACCATTGTATGAGAGCTGCTGTCTTGTTGGTATGCCCCACGATGTCTTCTATTTGATGGCAGAAGCAAAGGGCAGTTGGAAAAGGGCTTGGTTATCCTCTATTATTAGCTTCATGCATTTGGATTTTCTTTTCACCCAGGAATGAATATTTTATTCAGTGGACGTTTTAGAAGGATGAGATTTATAATTGGACTACCAACTGGGTGAAGCAGTGCTTTTGTCTTAAGCTAACAGCTGCCATTGAGTTAATACTTTGTGCCGGGCACTCTTTCCTGTGTTTTGCATTTACTAACTCAGTCCTCTTAACAACCCTGTAAAATAGATACCATTGCGTACTCCCATTTACAGGTGAGGCAGAGAAAGATTGAAGAACTTACTCATGATTCCATAGCTGCTAATGGCAGAGCCAGCAGCATACAGACTCAAGCCATCCAGCTGTAGAGACAGTTCATTCAGTCCATGCTTTTAAAAGTGTCCAGGTAGTATCTGGTTCTAGTGCAGAGGTCAGCAAAAAATTTTCTGTAAAGGACCAGATAGTAAATATTTTAGGCTTTGTGGGCTAAGAGGCAAAATGGAAATTACTATGTAAGTACTTATGTAACTAAAGAGAAAATGAATTTCCACAACATTTTTATTGACAGAATTCAAAACATAAGAATAATTGAGAACAGTTTTTTGTATTACAGTTCTACTAAGAAGAAGAAAGAAATACTTTGGGGGAGGACATTTCACTTAATTGGGATTCAATGTTAATATTTCTTGTCATCAAAATTGATTGTACATATTCATCTGTTAATGTTGATCTATAGTAAGATTTTACATATTTTGTTTTTGAAAATATCTTTTCATACAGATAAGTATTGCCAGATACTTACATTAATCCACGAGAAGATGATTTTCATGGAGCATAATTATCACTTGGAAGGCATTGAAAGAATTCCATTAGGTTCTTTCTTCTCTTGATATTTTTCTTTTAGAATGTTATTACATTGCAGATTACTCACTTCCCGACTCACTTCCTGGTTGAAGGTTAGGTGGAAGCTCCTCAATTGCATAATTGAATGGATTTTGACAAATGGGTATTTCCTTTACACTTGCATTGAGGTCCCGGACATATCCTTTGAGCTCAGAAAGTATATCTGCTGCCAGTTCATGTGAGAATAGAGCTCATGCCGCTTATCTTACCTTTGATAGCACAGGAATTATGTAAAGCAGCTTGACATGACTTCATGATTCAAACACTGTTAGTTGTCATCAAAATTACTTTACTGTAGTCTGTTTCACATCTAAGCACTGTTCTGCTGGCTTCACCTCCAGAGCTTCTGATTCAGTAGAATTTGCGTTGATGCTCATGCTGCTGGTCTGAGGGCCACCCTTTGAGAAGCACCACTCTACAGTTCTCCTTGAGTTGGAAGCTTTTCTCTGAATCCCAGTGAATCCCACCTACAGTGTGAGTAGCTATTCTCACTGTTGCGCACTATTTCCGTTTTTGGTTGCATTCATTACAAAACATTATCAAGGCTGCAACAGAAGCTAAATTACAAAGCCGTTCAGTATTCTGTAATATTGGTTGAGTGCATTTCTTCTGGTTCCGAAAAATCTCAGTTATCAGCTCTGATCTCAAAAACTCAACAATGAAACTACCACTGCTCAGCCAACAGACTGTTGTGTGGGAGGATATTCAGCTTCTACATCTGATGAAAAATAACAGCTGATGATGGTAAGATGAAGTTCACCATTGACACTGCTAGTTCAGTAACATAAGATCGAGTCATACATATTCCACAGAGTACCTGCAGATGAATAATACAGTACATAACCGTAGGTTTTAAACATTGCATTTTCACAAACTTTGTAAACTGGACCAACTAAGCCCTTGTTTACCCCACACATATTTTTACCACCACAAATTGTAACACATCTTAGCAGATTCTACTTCAGGTTATACTGAGCTCATGTTTTCTTAACTTCTTAGAAAATATTCTTGTCCGTAATTGTCCTATGCAGACGACTCATAGAAACCAACTGTTCAGTCCCTTCAACCTTGGCATTGACTCATCAAATAAATCATAATGACTAAGCAGTATCAATAACACCTTTTGACACATCAAGAGCCAAGGAGAACAACTCAGAACCATTTGCCTTGGTTTTTTATTGACTAATGATGTTGTTCTCAATGTTCTCAATTCTTTGAGCAACTGTTCTTGCCAAAAGGCTAATTTAATAGTCTTAAGCAAGTTTACTTTGGACACATTTCTTTAGCTGATGAATCAAAAACAATTTAATTAACTCACCATTGGTAAGTGGCTTTCCTTGCTTGGCTAACAAATGAGCCACTCAGAAACTTACCTTGGCTGTAGCTTTCTTTTCATTTTTTAATTTTTGTAAAGAAATTCTGCTGTGATGAGATACCTTGTTTTAATTTTCTAGCTTTTCTGGCCACTACATTCCTATGAATTGAAAATATTGTGGTGAGTGCTTAGTGTGGTAATTCCACCGTGTATAATATTCTTTCAGAGCAGCCACAGGGTCTTTGCATTTTAGACACAATGCTTTGCCATCTAATTCGATAACAAAATAATCCATACTCCTCCGTGCCTTAAACACATGACACTTGAAGTCTACTTTTTTGTTGTTCCAACATTATCGGTATGCACTGGTAATAAAAAAATTTGAAATACTGTGGAATGACAGTATGCACGGCATTCAAAATGTTGGTAGTAATAACTATCACTACAGTTTGTAACGTGCTGAGCAGTAGTGCAAAATGATGAGAGCACTGCATAGGTCTCTGCTGCTACAGCTCAACTCTGCCATTGTAATGTGGAAGGCACCATAGACAAATAAGTGAATACATGTCGCCACGTTCCCATAAAACTCTATTTCTGGACACTGAAAGTTGAATTTCATGTAATTTTCATGTGTCACAAAATATTCTTTTGATTTATTTATTATTAGCCATTAGAAAATGTAAAAACCATTTTTAAGTTGCAGTCTGGATTTGGCTTGTGGACCGAATGTGCGACCTCTGAGGAGATTCTCAAATCAGTTAGTTAACCCAGGTTTGCCCATTCCTAATTTTATAAACCACATTCAAACCTGTCCTCAGCTTATAATCTTTCTCATTTTACCATTTGGATTTTAAAATTAAGGACAGTATTTTACTGACTCAGAGAAAACAAAACTTTTTTACCATAACAAGAATTTTGGATTTTTTTCTTTTTTATTGAGGTATATTTGACAATTTAGAATTGTATATATTTAAGGTATACAATTATTCAATTGATAATTCGATATACATATACATTGTGAAAAAAAAAATCACATCCAAGCTAATTAACCTGTCTATTCAGATAGTTAACACATTTTTTGGGTGGTGACATTAAGATCTACCCTCTTAGCACATTTCAAGTAAAAAGTATTGTTAACTCTTGTCACATTGTTGTACAATAGATCACCAGAACTTACTCATCAGCATAACTGAAACTTGGTACCTTTTGACCAGCCTCTCCCCATTTCTCCCTCCCAAGTCCCTGGTAACCACCATTATACTCTCTGCTTCTATGAATTTGACAATTTTAGATTCCACATATAAGTGAAATCATGTAGTATTTTTTTTTATCTGAAAAAAAATTTATTGATGTATCTCTGGAAGTGAATCAAGTGGATGTACAGCAGCAAGAAACACAGCATTGAAAATCAGCTATACACCATTATAAAGTAAATTATAAAAAAGAAATACAAAGACAGTGAGACAGTGAGAAATACTTACAAATTACGTTCAGGGGCTGTGATGCAATGTGGACTAACCGCACTAGAACCACAGCTGCATGAGACCTAAGACTGGACACTCGTGGGGCTGAGAG